TTGGATTTCAAGTAAATTTAAGATACATTTATTAAGTTTAAGTTTATTTTTCTTAAATAATTATATATATATGTGTATATATATATAAAATATATATATATATATATATATATATATATGTGTGTGTGTGTGTGCATGTGTGTGTGTGTGTGTGTTATGCATTATATAGTTTATATGTATTCTTATATACTAAAAGTAATATATCATAAAATACATCTTTTTTATATTAAGGGTCCCGGAGTTAGTCAAGCGTCTGAATGGACAGACCATGGCTGTGTAAAGTTTGAAAACCTCTAATCTAGAACTATTTTCTCCTATAAAAGCACAAAACTCTTCATGTTTGGCCCTAATATCCTACATATCTCATATGCTGTTTTGCAATTTTGTGATAGTGAAGATATGTGTGGCTGTTTTTGTATTTGCATAAGTGTATCTATATTTGCCTGTGGAGGGGTGGGGGGGGGATTTAAAATAATGAGTGTCAGCAGAGGGGAAGGGCAGCTGTATCAAGAGGCATAAAGGTGTTCGGATTGCATCTATTAGAATGATGGGAGGGGGAACACATGTCCTTGCCCCTCCAGTCAGCTAACAAATCTCATTCACATTCTATATTTAACCTCAACAAATGGCACATTTCGGCAACGCTCCACCTTTCAACCATGCCCTTGAGAACTCTAATAGTTTTTTCGTGACATAACTGGATTGATGTGCGTGAGAGGAAAAAACTGCCAGCGTTTTTTTTTTTCTAGTGTAGGTTTATGACAGGGAACAACTTAAGTGTTTGAGTTGTTTTGCATTGCATATCTAAATCATTAATGTGTTCAGAACAGCTCTTATGAATTTTGCAGATTTATGGGCAGCCCTCTCTGCTTTGGCTGGGCATCGTCTAATAAAGCTGCAACTGCCAGTGTGCATTTCAGAGCTAAGTGGTGTTTTCTCAAGCAAGAACCACTACTGTAAGCTTTATACCTTTGAAACCCAAACAACTGCATTCAGGTTTATATCCACTGGAGAACATTTAGATGCAGTTCTTTTGTCAACTGGGTCATTCAGTGGCAACTCAACCAAAGGTCCCCATCTAAAATGTTTGATTTTTATCACTTGAGCAGCTTTGCTCAAGACACTAATTACCAATTAATCACTAATTAGTCATTTCCCTTTGCTTTAGACAAAGTGTCTGATATAGACAGTACACTTATTACAGGAGCAGTACTTCTGGAGCAGACTTGAGGTTGTGTGTGCTACTCATTGGATTAACCTTTGCAGAAATTTAACCTACAACCTTTTGGTTACCAGCCCAGATCTTTAATTATTTGTCCACCCTAAAGCAGCATTTAATTATGCAACCGTTCCAGAAAGATCATACTTGAATGTTCGCTTCTATTAATATTGTACGCGAGTGGGTTTGCAAACTTGTCAATGTAAATATTTTACGTATTATATATGTTTGAAAGACATACATGCAGTAATGTATTGTATTATATGACATATTATAGCATACCAAAATATTTGATTACTCAATAGTCATCCATGGTATTTAATTTTTGGCTTTCATCACTATTTGTTTGTCTTTCTTCAGAAATAAAGTAACAAAATCAAACATTTTAGCAGAGCGAGTTTCATTTAAAGCCTACACTCTTAAAAATTGCTCTTAAAGGGGTGGTTCAGTGTTTTTTTTCTAGGCTTGATTTTGTTTATGGGGTGCAGTCTAACATGTGTTAATGCTTCATTTTGTAAAAAACGCATTATTTTTCACATAATTTACCTTTATTCCACACCGCTCTGTCCCTTCTCTGAGAAACGCGCTGATCTTTTCCTGCTTTTATGAAGCCCCTCCCTCAGAAATAGGCGATGGGCTCTGATTGGTTAGCTAGTCCAGTGTGTTGTGATTGGCTAAACCGCCTCTAGTGCACGCCCCTCACCTCAGCGGCATGTGCTCCGATTGTATTGTAAACAAAGGCGTCGTTAATATCGCTTATCAGTTTGAGCCCGATTGAGAAGCAGAAGATATTAGTGAAGAGGATCGTGCAAAACCAGTGCAAGCACGGCTTTTCTACCAGCCGTTTTTGTAGGCATTAAACTGCCAGAATTTTAAAAGACGATATCGCCGTTTGCATAGAACTTTCAGCTTCGTAACTTTGCAGATATTGTTTATGCTCAAACAGCAACATTACACACTAACTAACGTTGAAAAAGTGAAATCGCAATGAACCACCCCTTTAATTGGCATTATGATTCCATTAAGAACCTTTAACATTTTAAAACTTTCCATTGCACAAAAGACTCCTTATAGTGGGGAAAAAGGTTCCTAAGATAATTCAAATGTTCTTCACACTAAAAAAACAAATGGCTCTTTTATTCACTGAAATGTTCTTTGGGGAACCAAAAGTGGTAATTCTATGTCATTACTCATTACTGTGAAAACCCCTTTTGGAACCTTTATTTTTAAGATTGTAGTTCCATCTACTCTCTGTGGTAGCCTGTTTGACAGACTAACAGCCCTAGTGCAGAGCAGTCTTCAGTGCACTTGCTATTTTGGGAGAGGTATCAGAGGTCAGGCAGGATCCATCACAGGGTTTTAAAGATCCCTTGACATTATACGCTGACCTACTGCTGCGCTGAACTTCGAGGAACTTATAACAAAAGCTTCCTTATATATGGCCATTTTCTTCATACTTTAATGAACATGGATTAGATTTCATGCTTTCGTGACTATGTCAATACATTCTAGCTGGCTAATCCCTCACTGAGTATTGCATAAAGTTCAAGGCCACTAATGAAAGTGAAATTCATCAAAGTGTTTTGCTCAGTGGCAGCGCCAAATTGCAACCTCAGTAACCTTTCCATCTCATGCATTGTTTCCACTCTTTGGTAGTCCTGAGATTTAAACCACCAGCCAACTATGTGGATGATGACTCAGTCTCAGATATTTAGCTTTCTGCCCAGCTGTAAATGCCCTCAATGCCCTCCACTAAAACTCTGGCCTCACACTGATATGGGTACTCAGGTGCAGCAGAAGCACATCAATAAGTAGTCGACACTGGGATATGTTCAAGCAAGATTCAGCTATATAATGAAGGTAATTTTTAACCAAAAATTATGTCAGGTTAGTAGGCTATTCGTTTAGATGTTTCATGATTTATAGCCTACTGTTTAAGAGTGCAATAAATGTAATATATTTTAATATGGATTTAATATGAAAGATGTTTTTAAAAAAAAAACAATCAAAAAGATATTCTTCTTAAATCAGTGTAAATAAGTTCTTTCTAAAACAGCTGCTCTCCCCGACGCAGGTGCAGCACCAAGGACAGCGACCAGACTCCGCAAACCCTGAACCAACGATCACAGAACATTAGCAGCTTTGCTCAAGACACTAATTACCAATCAATCACTAATTAGTCATTTGCCATACGCTTGTAAAGTGTCTCATACAGAACACTTTTTACAGGAGCAGTAGGGCCTACCTCTGGAGCGGAGTTGAGGTTGTTACTCAATGCATTAACCTTTGCAGAAATTGAACCTATAACCTTTTGGTTACCAGCCCAGATCTTTAACTATTTGTCCACCCCAAAGCAGTATTCTAGGAAGCAACCGTTGCAGGAAGATCATACCTGTCAGCAGCCGACTTGAATGCTCTCTTCTATTAATATCACACGCTAGTGAGTTTACAAAATTATCATGTATATGGAAATATTTTACATGCTCCAACAGCTTTTTCAAATATTTCAATAACCATAGAAGTTAGCTTACACGTTACGCTTACTTGCACCTGCAAAGGTAACCATAGCAACAGAACGCCGCTCGAACGCTTTCCTTTAGGACCATATTGACAAAATACAAATACTGTCGATATTAGATGACATGTGAAGTGTGCTAGGGATGGAAAAGACCATTTGGTTTGCGTGAGAAAAACCTCAAACAAATTGAGCTGCGAAAAATAGAAGTTCGTTTAAACACGTTGACCAACTTCCCCTGTTGAAAAAAACTGCATATGCTGGTTAGGTATGTTTTGAAGCTGGGATGCTGGTTTGAGCTGGTCCTTTGCTGGTTTATGCTGGTCATGTGCTGGTCTTAAGCTGGTCGGACCAGTTTAGGACCAGCATAAACCAGCAAAGGACCAGCATAAACCAGCTAAGGACCAGTATAAACCAGCTAAGGACCAGCATAAACCAGCTAAGGACCAGCTTAAACCAGCTCAAACCACCATCCCAACTTCAAAACATACCTAACCAGCATATGCTGTTTTTTTCAACAGGGTCAGAGTTCAGTATAGTCTATAGGTTCGCACGCTGTTATAAACACGTCCAAACTCAAAACCTCGAACGCAGAGTTACTTTTAAACGCAAAATATGATATATTGAGGAGGCTTCGTAACTCAAAATGATTACAACATATTTAAGTTTCGTAATATTTGATCTGTTAATCCACGTCGCTTACCTCAGTGCTCTCTGTATCTGCCATTTTTCTCCTGAGGAGCAAACAGCGGGAGGAGTGTTTAATTCCCATAAGAGCCGACGAGATCTTCTCCGGATCGTGCGATAAATGAATGACAAAAACCTATTCAAAAGTCTTCAGAAATCCTGCAGCCTTCGCGTAATTACCTCACAAACTCGCAGAATCAATTCGAATCATGTTCCAGAAGATAAACGAGCCCTAAAACTTGTTGAAAGCCCTCCTGAATCCATGGTATAAAAGTTACCAACAGCAGCGGTTCCCAAAGGAGCGCATGGCGAACTCTCCATGTCGTGGGAAAATATTATGTACTTATAAAAAAGCGCCCCATCGTTCAGTAATATTAGATCAGCCGGTCAATAAAAGCGTTAATCATTCATATCTCCATCCTTTGGATCTGGAATAAAGTCCCTAAGTAACCCTTTAAAGCTCTTATGGAAACCATCGTGCACCACAGAAATCTCTCTATTATAGGCTAGTATTTCAGTGAGGCAAGAAATATTGCTTTTTGCTGCTCTGAAATCGTTCGTCGATCATTGATGAGATTCTCTTACGTAGGCTGTATATAAAAGTGGCTCAAAGACGTTGCTCCACGCTCCAAATCGGATCTTCCCAAATGTATGCTCCCTTTCAGAAAATAGCGAACGTTTAAAGTTCCTCTTACGAGATGCTGAAGGATCTTAAAGGACAAACCAGTTGGATTCCTTTAAATGGAGCAGCGGGAGCCAATGAGATGTGTTTTCACCTCGCCTCCATCCTCTGACCGGCTGAATGTGATGAGGAGCTGAGCAGGTCCCCAGTGCTGCTGCTGCCCCCACACACGGTAAACTTCAATTAGTACACAAATAATAATATACTTAAATAAGCTGAAAATAAACACATCAGGAGTTGTTGATCAGCGTTCCGTTTCTCTATCGCTTTTAATTTTATTTGAATTAAAACGTAGCACTTTCGAGACATTGTTAAAATGTTTACAATCACATAAGCTGAAAACTCCAGACATGTCGATATTCTATTTTATTTTTTATTTTTTATAGTTTTTGTTTTATTTTTTCGAGCCATTTTGACATCAGTATCTTTATTTTAATTTATTATTATTATTATTATTATTATTATTATTATTAATTATCTCTTGGTAATCGTTCATTTGTCATTATTAATTATATAAAGATTTATTTATTCATTCATTCATTCATTCATTCATTCATTCAATCAATCATTCTTTCTTTCTTTCTTTCTTTCTTTCTTTCTAATTAAACACATTTAAACAGTGATTAGCACTTTTTAGAGACATTATTAAACATGTTTATAATCAGTAGCTGAAAAAAACATGTCACTCTTTTTATTTTTATAGTTTTTATTTTATTGTGCACTGTCAGGTTGACATAAGTATTTTTTTTTTTATTTTTTTTTTTAGAATCGTTAATTTGTCATCATTATTCTTTCTTTCTTTCTTTCTTTCTTTCTTTCTTTCTTTCTTTCCAATTAAAAAGTTTTATGCATAAAGAAACAATTTCCACTTTCGAGACAATGTTAAAATGCTTACAATCACATGCTGAATACTCCAGGGCCCTCATTTATCAAGAGTGCGTAGAAAAGGTTCTATATTCTGTCCTAAGAATGAATGTGTAAGTACAAAAAAAATCCGTATTTATCAAATGTGTGCATGCGGTTCTTACGCACACCAGTAGTAGCCTAATCATTGTTGATAAATCCCACATGTTCTTAAAGGGGTCATATGATGCGATTTAAATTTTTCCTTTCTCTTTTAAGTATTACCATCATTTGGTGCATAAAGAAAATCTGTAAAGTTGCAAAGACTAAAGTCTCAAATCCAAAGAGATATTCTTTATAAAAGTTAAGAGTCAACCACGCCTACCTAAAACGGCTCTTTCTAACACGCCCCCACATGTCTACATCACTGTGTGGGAAGATTTGCATAAAGCCGCCCAAATGTTCACAGGACATAGAGGAGAAACAATAATGTACAGTATGTTGAAAATAATGTGTTTTTTTAACCTTAAACCACATAAACACATTTCATTACACCAAATACACAAAATAATGTTCTTTTTAGCAACATCATATGACCCCTTTAAGCACCATGCTCGTTTACGTTCATGGTCATTTGCATTCAGAAACGCCTCCAATGAACCATTTATGGTGACAAGACCTCCCTTTATTATCAGGTGAATGTATACATCCTCACTGAAGTCATGGCAAAGAAAGTGGTACCGATTGAGCCATTCTGTGCTCTCATTAAACAGATCAGCGCACTCTTTGAAAACGCGTTCTCTACGCAACGCTTGGTTTGCCAAATCTTCCAGCAAAGCGAGATCAGCCATGACCATATAGCTACATTTCAAATCGACTTCCCAACTGTCTTTTATAGCTTTTCACACTAATTGTGCAAATGTTTAGCTTGAAATATGAAATATGAAAATGAGCATTTGCAATTAAAGGACACATGCGGCGACACTTTCTTTTTGTAGTATCGCCATTCTACCACTAGATTCTCTGTGTAAGCATGCTCAGAGTTGTGCTTATATTTACACACA